ACTCTCCGGTTAGTGCGCCCGCCGCCTATTAAGCCCAATTTGGTCTGGGCCCCGTGGGCTTAATAGCCGGCGACTACTGTAACAATAAAGTCCTTTGGGAAAGAATAATGTTTATTAGGTGTATTTCATAGTCCGTTTTCCCAGCTCGTCGTCAGACAACTGAGAGTTGTGAAGTAAACAGTTAACTCAAAACAACAACTAACACAAAAGTCTGCGGTGGGTCAGGGCGTAGGAAGATAATAGTCCCCTGCATTTTATTATGTGGTCAGTGGGGAAAGTAACTGTCACCTGCTTGTAATTATGCTCTCAGGCGGAAATAGTTATCACCTGCATTTAATAATGTGGCCGGTGGTGGCTGTTTCTTCTTCCACCTGAGCTTGAGACATTTTTAGTTGACATCCAAATGGATATGTCTGTTGATACATGCCTCGTCTCAATACATTGCCTCCATAAATTTGCGGCCCTTCCTAGTTGGGCAGGCGCCAAGGCTCTAGTTTTGCTCCCATACAAATGCGTGTGTCTAGTGTGTGTATGCCAAATATCTACTGAAACCCCTGACTTTTGTTCATCGATTTCTTCGCCCCTGCTGAAAGTATGTATTTTAGAAGAAGTACTGGCAGCAGTATGTATGTACTGTAAGTCTTGCTCGAAAGTACTAGGGAACAAAGGGTCTCCTTCGAGGATTCAAAGATTCCGCCTACCATGGCCATCCGCATAATAAATACACTCAGTGAAAGGCACCTTTACGCTCCCTTAAAGATTCTTTTGGCGAGCAAGAGCGGCTGAGTAATTATTCTTCCCTCCCCAGTCCGGTGTTCAGTTCCGGGAGATAAACTATAAAATCGCCGTTTAGACAGTTGAGGCATACGAGGTATCTCTGTGTATGATTCCCAGAGGTTTTTGTTCTTCTTGAGCATCCTTTTTAAGATACACCGAAACTTCCGTAACTTCTTTTCTTCCTTTGTGTATGTGATCTGTCGGCTTTTTACGCATAACAGTATACGAATCATGTGACCCCTAAACGGGCTGCGTGGTGCATGCGCTGGACCAGATCACGGCAGGGCATGCGTTATTTCAGTTGCACTCCCATAACACAAATACCGGACATTGGAGGGAAACGCTAGTGGCACCCGTAGATGCATGCTCAAACACCGGCCACCCGTGGTCTTTATGGCACTCCCACTCCACGGGATTTAAGTCGGGCTTGGCGGCTCCGGTGGCATGCGTCTGATGCCGCCTCCAGACTCTGTTTGGACGAAGGCAAGGCGAGAGGAGGAGGAGAAGAGAGTGCGGGATGATGCAGCTCAAGTCCAATTTTCATTAAAACTAATTCATGCGTAAGTTACTGTCCCTGCAACATCCGGTTGTGGAACACACCTTGGAAGTACAGTAGTCGC